CTACCCTTCGCTTTTATTATAACTTGAAATTTTTGCTATCTCAGTAAACGTTGAATTAAACGGAAATTTATTTTTAAAGAGTCTAATTTAATTGAAGGGAAAAATTTAATTATAAAAAAAAGAACGAAGTCTTATTTCTTCAAATTAATGTTTGTTATTTTGTTAAAATCTGGTATAGATGTAGAACACTGTTTGAGAGTACATGGGCCACTAAGTTTATTTTTAATTTCGCACCGCCGGAGTCGTGGGTAAAAGCTGGTAGATTTATGAATTTTATTACAACTAGACATACAACAAAAGCAATACCACTGACGTATTTATAAATCATTTACAGCCGTATAAAGTCGTTTTTATGATATGATTATTCATAACAAATCGCCTAAGTCATAGTAATAATGGGCCTTTGGACAAAAAAAGAAAAGCTTAAAAAGTCTATGCACACCTTCACGAATTTAACCTTATAATTCGTTCCAATTTTTATTAAGCAATTTCAATTAAAATTATAAAAAATTCGGTAGGTCTCGCATAATAATTAATGAAAATTCAAACGAAACTCTCTATCTATTTCAATAGGGGATCAGACCGTCTATTCACATTAACAATGTAAAGTAGGGAGCCTGTAAATCATATTTAATGCTGACATTTCACACTTATAGAAAATTTATCGACACTAATATGTAATGAATATTCTAGTATCGGAATCTCTCTATAAAGTATAAACTATAGTGTGAAAAAGATAACCTTACATTTAGGTAAAAGTCACTGCTAAAAAAATACATTGTAACATGTCTGATGCCCTGGTAACGTCAAATTAAATAAAAGTAAAAGTGACTGTTTACTTTGAATATAACCATAATCTTATCTTTATTTCACTTAGTAATTCTTACAAAGTATTAAAAGGATACAAAATACAGCAAAGCGCTGTTAATAATCAGGACATTTTGTAATTAATAAAAAACTATTCCGAGAATTCGCATGGACGCAGTAATTAAGCGCGTCCCACTGTTCTGTGTCGTTGCTCGCTATGATTATTGTTTCCGCCAGAGATCCAAAACGGGCGTGAAAAATGTAAATTAAAAAAGCATGGTTCATTATTTTCTGAAAACACAAAAGGCCGTGTAACGTTGCTTTCCTATTTATGCTACGTTGTAGGACAGTTCATTTTTGGGTACACGTGAAAATTAATTTTGCCACGGACTGCGTATATCAAAGAATTTACTTTGTTAAGTGCTGAAACAATTACTGCTTTTATATTTAAATAGACCTCGTACTAATGGTGCTATTTAAAAACCGAAAAGGTACCTGATCTCAGAAATGGACAAGTGTAACAAGCAACGTACTTTTGAAATAATACCTTTTTCAGAAAACATCGATCTGCGATAAAATTAGATATTACTTCGTCTTTAAATATATATAGCCGAATTCAATGGAAATAAGAAATTACTATAAACCTATCTAAACACTTTTACCTTTATAACGATGTAATCACAGACTTATTACAAACAGACACGTTTGTATCATCAATTCAAACACTGAAACATTTCAAAATAAATCCATAGACAATAAATAACATTGTCAGCCAGTGAAATGTGTAAAATTTCTCATTTCCATACATTGACCATAGCAGCAAACATTCATAGTACTTTACTGACATGCAGATTTTCATTAATTAAAGGCATGAAGTGGCAAACAATTTGGTCGATGCTGCCGGCCATCAAAGTCAGACATCGCATGAAGGAAACTCAATTAAAACTGTTTCATTGCTATTATTGGTTTTAAAACTCAGTCGGCTATTGTGTACCAGCGTCGCCTCGCGCGGGTCAGCGCAGTAACAATTCGTTAAGCCGAATCAATAGCTTCGTGTGCGTTGACGATAAATGCAACCTTTTACAGAACGCTATTATGAACGTCGGGTCTGCTTTTTTCTTTTTTTTTAACTTTCAGAAGCGATGAGGAATGGCGTCTGGAATTTTAAAGTTCAAAATACTCGCCAGTATACCGAAACTGTTTTGGCAAGTTGGTATAATCTCGTTAGATCAATTATTTCATTAGCATATAGTATAATTTACATTATTACTGAGAAGAAATTGACGCTGCGGTGCTATTTCTCTAGGACTGTTTTTTTTTTCAGTAAAATATTTTTTTACATAGGCGAAATACATATTTTCGCTGTCGGTTCAAACTACACAATTGAACTTTGAGTGATTAGAGGTAAATAACTGACATTTAAAATCATTTAGCTAATGGTTAGTTGAACAGTATCTTAGTATTAGCAGTATTTAAATGTAGTTTTCTCTCCTTAAACCTACATTAACGGGCTTACTTAGTAACTCCGGTATGATAAATGTATATTTCAAGTTTCTTATGTAATACAAGTCTATTGCTTTATGTCATACTAGTTAAATTCCTACAGGCGCTTTATACAACAAAACAAACAGCTCGACTATGTGATTAATAGTAATCCTTTGTCACTAAACCCCACTAAATTTAGATGTTTGAATAATATTATCTGGTACTTGGAACGAGAACGAGTGTACTTGTAAATTTCGTAATGTAATGTAAAATGTAACATTGGTATTATAATATTAATATGTGAAGGGAAAATTTCTTACCCTTTTTTAATGAAATTACGTGAAATTTGACACAGTTAATGTGGAGAAGTGCATAAAACTATTTTAAAAAATTTCTTTGGTTATGTATTATTACGGAATTTCGAACAATGTTTGAACATTTGTTATTTTTATTGTATGTATTGGTTGATACATAATCAATTCACATATCATCCTAAAAGAAACACAGTGGTGTTTTTTATCTATATATGTTCAATGCGTACGTTTTTCGTGTATTATATTTCAATTGAGTTCAAGCACCGTTCCGATTATTTGGAAAAATATTTAGATGTGGGTGTGTTTCTGAGTACGTTACTATTAGACCTTCTAAGAAGTTAGCCTCATAAATATCTCTGGGATCGGTCGAAGGAACTTTACCCTAAATATTAGGTTTCTTTTGTTAAAAGAAATATACCACACGATAATCTTTGGAAATATGAATACTAAAGTAAGCCTTAAATATGACAGTTTTGTTGTATGAAACATGAATTTATAATTCAATATGAAATCGTAATAATTTTTCGAAACAATCGAAATATTTATTGGTTGAAATAATTCAATTACATTTTGAACCGCGTATTTAATATTCGGAACACTTTCAATATTAATTAGCAGATATGGAACAGCTAACTGTGCACAATAATTATAATAAAAATATAAAGCTTGTTAACTATACAAAATTTTTGTTTATTTTAATATATGTCTCATGTAAGTAGAACTACGAAAATTAACAGTTTACTTGACTAGATTATTAATATTTAGCTTATCATCTTCTGAACAGTGTTACAGGCTGTGATATAGATGGCAAATAAAATGTAATCTCCAAAATTTTGCACAATGTACAATCAACGGCTATCAATATTTATCTTCCTCAAATTGAAAGAGAGTGAAGAGATACATTAAAACAAAGTTCAGTAATATTTAACATTAATTTAATTTTTACTACATTTATAAACAAAAAATTGATTAATTACTCTATGCTTAAACTAATTATAATCTTTGTACAATTCATACTATCTTCTCGGATGAACCTTCAGACAATAATTCCTGCTCCGCTGCTGCTTTAGAGGCTTGTATTCGCGGTCTAACGTATCTAAAGTATTTGTACACATGGTCCCCGAGGATTACAGATCCATACAATGTAATTCCTACGCAAACTAGAACTGCACCTCTATGTAATTTGTCATATAACAAATTTTTGGCGTATTTCTTCATTTTCCTGAAAATGTGAATTGAAAGTAAGTAACATATTTAAATGAAATAGAAACACTTTAATATTTAATCTAATACTGTAAGAATTAATACAGTGAACATCGTTTTACTATATACAAAACCGATAAAGATCTTCGCACGAAGCTCAACCTGTATCGCGAAGACATAGCTCACAGAATTTGTAAAAACTGCAATGAATTGAACTTAACATTGTACTTACTCTTTTATTTTATGAAATTATATAGAATGGTAAAAAATGGAAAACCACTAATGTTTGGTTATAGTGACATTGACAATGATAGAACTTTTGACAAATGACGAATGTAGTTTTGTTCGGAAACAAGCACACATAATGCAATTTTAAAATAAAAAAAGAATTTTATTCTTCATCGTTTTCAGCTTTATCTTTTTTATAATTTACTTATTTCCTCAAAAAATTTAATGATTCTCTATTATATTTAAAAAAAATCAAAAACTTATTTTGCCATATTTAGAAAATTTACAGCAAAGAGTATATAATTTATGATCTACAGTAAATGTCAAAATTTGTTAAACTTTGTCATTGTTAATAATTATAACCTTAACATATGTATAACAAGTTTTCAAAAATAATATAATTTTTCTACTCTAATTAAGTATGAATTGTTCTACAATTATAAGAAATGCGTATATTACTAGACTTTTATCTAATAGGACATTTTGTTCCAAAGTGCCTGTAGTTCCGGTAAAACCATTAGAAAGAAAAAATAACAAACAATTTAAAGTTGATACAAACACTATAGCACTTCTGGAAAGACTTTCTTTGGTTAAATGTGATACCGTTGAGGGTGTGGAAGTATTAGAAGATTCCATAACATTTGCCGACAAAATTCTTCATATAAATACTGACAATATAGAACCACTTTATTCAGTGCTCGAAAATGAGTAAGTACTTCTAACTATTTTAGATATTAATATATCGCTTGAGTGAATCGTAATTGTTGTAATTTTTTGTTCGTGATGTTTATATTCTATTAATGTTATAGGAATTTAAGTCTTCGTTCTGATGAAATAACACAAGGCAACTGTCAAAAGGATATACTCAAGAATGCAAGTTTAACAGAAGATGATTATTTTGTTGCACCACCAGGAAACATACCTTTGCATGAAGTTAATGATCAATATCAATCAATAAATAAAAATGAGAACTGAGTTAATAAAAGTTATTAATTTAAATAATTTCTTTAACATAGTTAAATCAAACAATAAAAGTATTACATATACTTACAAAGAAGCTAGTATAATACTATTACATAATATAAGAACAAGATGGTTACAGTTTATATATACAAAAACTAGTCAACATTTTCCTGTATATTTAAATGAACCTAAAGCCAAGACGGTTATAAAAAATCAACCCTGCGGTTTTATTCATCAAATTATGCCTCAATTCAACCAAGAACATGTTATTGAGTATAACCGTGACAATTTGAATACAAAAACTACATCAGAGTTATGTTTTAATATGACAGTACCAATACAAGATGTAATGCAATATTTTACGCAATGGCAGAGGTATAGAAAATATTGGTGGAGCTCTGTTAGTATATTGCTAGACTCATTATTAATAAATCAGATTATCTCTCTATAACACAGCTAAGATTAATGTTTACAATTGTTCTAATACCTCTCTTCTAAGCCCATTTTTTTCTTCATTTAAATGTGAAGTGAATGTGTGTGTGTGCTACTTCATAATGTTATTTTCAAATATTTCTATTATATTATTTAAGTCTAAATAAAGTAAGACTGAATATGTGCTTGCATCACTCTTTTTATTTCAATGTGGGTTATTATTAGAATATATTTTATGTACACTTATGAAATTGAAATATTCTTTCAGATAACTACAACACCAAGTCTATTTTCTATAAGTGATATAAAACATAAGGAGAATAATGCCAATGTTAATATATTAGCAAATTTTAATTGGGGTCCTAAAATTGTTGAAGCTGTCTCAATGAATACTGTAAGTAACACACAATTTGTTGCCTTTATTAATGCTGACTACGCCTCCATTCACACGGAATGAACAAAATACTTAATTAGTTGCATATGTTCTTCAACACTATGTTCTACATCTATACCGAATTTCAGCGAAATTCAAGCAGCAGTTCTGCAGGTACTTTCTAACAATCATCCATCCATTATCATGCCTACATCCAAACATTCAAATTTACAATATTAGTAATATTTATTAACTTTATTTATAAAATATTTATGGATTTTACTTTATTTATAGGATACTGAATTCTCTTATTTATCTTGTAAAATGTCATATGACGATGCACTATTCACAATTTTACTTGATGGATTAAACAACAGTACCAAAGAGAAATATTTAAGACTTCACAATAAAATGGCTCCGTACAAAATTGCATTAGCTATAGATTACAATGGTAAGTAAAGTTTTTTTTTTTAACAATTGTAACATTTTGACCCAGATTATGTCTGCAATAAATTTAATCACACCATAATTATATTGTCTAGCAAACTTACTAAAATAGGTCATATCCATGAACTTAATTAATTGCACATGTGTTTAAATGAGTAATCAGGAGCCATATCAATTGCAGATTGTAAACATTTTGATACTCTTAAAGAGCTTGCTGCACTAATCATGCATAAATTGGAGACAAACAATTTATCAACAATATGTCCAAATGTTGAACTGCCATTGGAGTCACAGGTAATTATCCTACAGAAGGTGGCAAATAAGCAAATAGTTCTTATTCTGATAATAGGCTGTCTCCCAAGACTTTGCGCGGTAATAAAAAAAAATTGTAGCCTATGTTTTTTTCTGGACTATGTTCTACATCTATGCCAAATATCAGTGAGATCCAAGCAGCGGTTCTGGGGATACCTCCAAACATCCATCTAAACATTCGCATTTATAATATTAGTAAGATAGGCACCAGCAATAGCATTGCAAAGAATTCCACTTAAAGCAAACAGGAGAAATGTTCCTTTCTTCTTGTCACTTGGAAAAAGAATCATTTAAATTAGACTGAATTGTGATTCCTTATAAAATACAGCTCCGACAAATTGAAGAAAAAAAATATTCGAATTCTGTCTTATATTTTGCAGCTTCGAGAAAATTTTAAGATTGGTGTGACATATACAGCGATAATAAGTGAAAATACACTTTCAAATGGTATTTTTCATTTATTGAATAGCAGTACTATGCTTAAGGTAATGTATATTTAAATAAATTCCAGCTCGATACCTTCACACATTCCTGAGAAACAGGATCTTGACAGACAACAAAGTGAACCTATAAGGGTTCCTTTTGAGAAACAGAACCCTAAAACACTTTTATCCTAGTCAACAGAACTCCTGATAATCTTTTTAGTTTTCAACTTAACTTTTTTTGCAGGAACAAATACATTTGGCAGATTTTGAAACTTATGCCACATTGCTGTGTGGTAAATAAAAGAACTTACTCTGCACGTTCAGTATTATATTAAAAATGTAGAATTACAGTTTGATAAAAAAGTTGTTGAAGTAAAATGTTTTTTAATTATCCTTATCTATTGCTCCATTGACTTTAAAGTTCACTATGTGTTAATCATTATCATCAGGAATTCAACTGGGATGTCTGAATAATGGATACCATTACTTCCAGATTTAATTTATTAAAGAATACTTATTGTAAGAAGTTACATTAAAATCTTAATTATGAAAAAAAAAATATTGATCTATATATCAAATACAAACAATTTACAAAAGATTACGAATTTCATTGCTACATTACTGTCACTGAAATCTTTAGTCATATTTATCTTAACTTGTAACACAATTATGTCCAAAATAATCGAATATTGCTGTTTTTGTACGACTCATTTGATGCTAATCGTCTCAAATATTGACTACAACAGGCAGCATTGAAATGGCTTCAGAATAATGCTACGCATTGTCAGTTTCATATTTGTTTACATAAAACTGAAATGCCACAAGAATATGGCATGTCCACAAAGTCTCGTGGTCATGCCAAATATATTACAACTATGCTAATTTTGGTTTTTTTACCTACAAAAAGAAATGCCTAAAAAAATCATGTTTAATACATTTAAACATGATTTTTTCTCGAAAAAAATATATCAATCAGATATTTATAACTAATATAATTCATGTAAATAACCAAATTAATGCATGCCGACTATAAAACTTTTTATGATATTTTAATATATTTTCCTTAAGTATCATTAAAACAAATGGGTATTTAATGAATTGTCAAATTTAACCACAAACAACTGTTTTTAATAATGCAATCACAAATTACCCACACAATAGTTGTACAGCTAAGATCTTAGGTTTTATTCTCGATTTAACATACATCAAATTAAAACATTGGATCTGTCGACTTGCATCTAGGCTGGCAACTGAAGCTTCTTTCCTTTTAATACTGAAAACAAAAATTATACTTTTATATTTAATGTGACAACAAAAGACATACTAATATACCAGTTTGTTCTGTCTTAAAATATTGAAGCATAGAAAATGAAATATGGTTAAACAGTGGCAGTCCAATAAGTTGCAACAATCTCCCTTCTTGCACTCTCTCTCAAATAAAATTAACAAGCAGTTGGATCACAGCTGTCTGTCAAAGTGCCACGAAATCCTTGTCCGACTGTAGTGTCTTTGTCTTTAGTTTATTTTTTATAATTGTTTTCATGTTTCACAATACAATGTAATAAATGTTATCTATGATATTAATTTTTGATGTTAATGTAATCAAAAGATTGTTTTTTGTTATTTTTGATACATAACAATTTATAAATTAAAAAAATGTAGCGTTTAAATGTGAAACATTATTTCCATTAGATTTTATTATGCATAATGATATAGCTGTTGTCATAATAAAAAATAGCAAAGCATATAAGTATTTATTGATTAGATAAAAAATGTAAATGAACTGCTTACTATCTGTAATGTAAATTGTATGTAAAAATATTAGTTTTTAATTCAAGCAACTTTTTTTGTTTTTATCTATTTATTATAATTAACCTTAAGTTATGATGTGATATGATGTATATATTTTCTTTTTAATTCTAGGGGGTCTAGTATGAACATTCCCAATACAGAATTTATAATGTGATATATCAGAATATTACCTTTTGTAATGTACAAGTAGAAGAAATCACAGTATAGAACTGTCTGTATGACTCCTGCTACAATAGCAATCAGTTCATAGTGGTCCTCAACGATGTAGCGGTAAATCTGCAAATTGTTTTTAGATATTGTTTTAATTTGTTTACTATTTCTTTTATTTCGTCATTAGTATATTTAATATGTTCAGTAAAACTGCTTACCCAGTTCAAGAGATAAAGCCCTCTGTAAGAGCCAAGCGCGAAAAGATAGTGAGATGTAATACTTTCAGCCTCTCCTGTTTTTGATACCAAAAATAATTGTGGCAAAATCGCAACAGACTCCAAGTAAATAGAAAATGTCCACAAAACCTGTAAAATGAGTAAAATAAAATTTACGATCATGTAAACGAACCGTATCTTTACGTCAATTACATGTACATTAGGCACACCACTATCAACGTAATATAGTTATACCAACCTCAAGTACTGTAAATTCTCGGTTGATCAGCAATGCAAGAATAACAGAGGGTATAAGCAAGAATTCAATCCTGAATGTATCGTGATTGTGGTCATAGGTAGCTTTAAATTTCACATACATCAAATAAACCGTAGCGTAAGAAGCCACGATGAAAACTATTTTCATTATAGTGTTATAGGCAGACACGAACGTCGTTAACAAATCCAGATATCGCGATGTATAAACTATAGCAAATAATATTTGCGATTTTCCCGATATTCCTGAAAAATACACACAGAAACATAATCACAATCATTCCCCTCATAAAACACAAACGTAGGAGCATGCCGGTTTGTAGATAATCACCTGCACAAGATCTCGTTTTCCATATTTTTAATAACAATATTATAATGGCTAGAAGGTGGGATAAATCAGCGAGTAAGCGGAAAATATTCATGATTTACTATTTTATGGAAAACTTATGTTAAATGCCGCGTATACTAAACGCCTATAACAATCTTTTCATTCAACCAAAAATGACGTGGCTGAATGACACAGAAATTAAATGTTTCCAGTTTATAAAATTAATTTATAAATGTCTATGATTCTATGATGATCCTATTTTTACAAAATAAAACAATATTTCTAATGATCGATAATATGCTATTATAATGGGAAGGCTTTATTGAAGATTAAGATAAACGAGTAATTAAAATATTTCCAGTAAAATAAAAATAGACAACAGCTCTTGTCCTTATTTTTCGAAAAAAAGATTTTTGTCAGCTGATTGATGTTATGACAGTGACATTTAATTTCATTGGATGTATGCAGTGAAGTTAAATGTAGATTTGAATAAATGTAATTTTTTGAGAAGTTAGTGATACTTATTTGCAATGAACAAATAACAAATTTTTGCGATGGTTAATATATTAAAACTTATTAATCGTCTTAGAATAAATTATAATAAAGGATCCAGATATAATAGGTTATAATTGTAAATTGAAAATTATTAAATTTATCACATAAAATGCAACAGACAAATTTCAAAATGTATTATTTTCAGTATACATCGAATGAGCAGCACTGACAGTGGCAATAATAAACTAGACCGCAGAAAAATCAGAAACTTCAGTATTGTTGCTCATGTTGATCATGGCAAAAGTACATTAGCTGATAGATTGTTAGAAATAACTGGTGTAATTAAACCAAGCAATGAAAATGCACAAGTTTTGGATCAGCTACAGGTATAAGGACACTTACAACATTTATGTCTTTCATCTAAATATTGTAAAGTTATCTTAAATTATTTTATTTCCAGGTTGAAAAAGAAAGAGGAATCACAGTCAAAGCTGTCACCGCATCTCTAAACTATACATACAACAATGAATCCTATCTCTTAAATCTTATTGATACTCCTGGCCATGTTGATTTTTCAAATGAGGTAAAATTCAAATATTATTTTATCAAATACAAATAATACAATAAACATACTAATAATAGTTTTTGTAAAATAACAATCTTTAAAAAATTCTTAAAACCTAATATATTTGAAGTTTAAAATATTAGTGTTTATAATTTCCAGGTTGTCAGGAGTGTATCGGCATGTCAAGGTGTAGTTCTGTTAGTTGATGCCAATGAAGGTATACAAGCTCAGACTGTTGCAGTACATTCATTGGCCAAAAGGAACAATTTAACTATAATACCAACCTTAAATAAAGTTGATTTACCAAGAGCTGACCCTGATAAAGTCAAATCACAGTTAAATTCTCTCTTTAATATTGACCCTAGTTTAGTTTTAAGTGTTTCTGCAAAAAAAGGTTGGGGTGTTAAAGAGTTATTAGAAGCTATAATTACCCGAATACCTCCTCCAGATGTGGATCCAAATGCCCATTTTAAAGCACATATTATTGATACATGGCATGATAAATATAGAGGTGTGTTATGTTTGGCGTATATTCACGCTGGCAGTGTGGAAATGGGACAAGCAGTGAAATGGCAATCAAGTACGAAACAGCATGCAGTGAAGTATCTGGCTATGTTAAGACCAACTGAAGAACCAATTAGTAAAGCTATTGCAGGACAAGTTGTAATGGTAGGTAAGTAAATAAATATAATTATCTTTTAAAATCATAGTACAGTGTCATTCAAATTTATAGCAGCTTGAAATGAATAGTCAGTATGAGATAAAATCTAAAAAAAACAAAGCTTGCATCTTATGTTAATCATAACAACTTAAAAGTTGTAAACCGTATTTTTATATAGCACCTAAATCTTCACAGATCTATACTTAATATTAAAGTTGATATTCCCGTTTTTTTGTGAAAAAAATATTAATTAATAATTTTTAAAACAAATTTTCAGGTCTTGGTACAAAAGGCGGAGGTAGCGTGGGAGACCATCTACTATCAGTTGAAGTACAGGAAAGTACATCAAGCAGTCCATTACAAGCAATCAAACATATGGTATATGCTGGTATATTTCCCTCTGACCAATCGCAACATGTATTTCTCAGCGATGCTATCAAAAAGTTGGCTTTGAATGACTCTGCCGTCAGTGTAAACGTTGATTCAAGGTACACGTTATTTTTATAATGAAAAATTACTATTTATTCATCTTTAATTTTTTTATGTTTATATTTAGTGTTTATATTTTATTATTAAAAAACATTATTTGTAGCTTATGTGTTCTACTACACTATGTTCTAAATATATGTCAAATTTCATTAAGATCTGTTTAGCCGTTCTGGAGATACCTTTCAAACAAACATCCATACATCTAAACATACGTATTTATAATATTAGTAAAAATAACTGTTTTTTAATGGTCCTAGAGATCATGGAACATTTACTTGTTTTATTTTAGTCCAGCCTTAGGTCAAGGTTGGCGAGTAGGTTTTCTAGGACTACTGCATCTTGATGTCTTCACACAGCGGCTGCTGCAAGAACACAAAGCTGAGGCAATCCTCACTGCACCTTCTGTACCATATAAAATTAAGTATGAACATTTTTAATTACAAAATAGCATCTAAGTTAAAGATAAATTTTGCCTATTTACATACATATTGATGTAAAAGTTCACACAAAGCAATGCTGTGTAAAGATAATAACTTCAAATTGCTGGAAATGGTAAATAAAGGAATAATAAATTAATGGTGTCTTTTCTTAAATTTGGTGAACTTTTACAAATTTATTTTCATGATTACAGGCTAAAAGGCGCAAGAATCATCAAACAGTACAAAACTGATGAGATCATTATAACAAATCCATTACAATTACCGGAACCGCAACACATTGAAGAATATTATGAGCCTTTGGTTATAGGTATGTTGTGCAATTTTCTTTTCAATACCTATATTTTTACAAAATATTACTGCTTAAAATCTACTAATATTTCTTGGACCATTCCAACTAAGGTCTATGCTTGTGCTAGGCCATGGTTTACAACAATAGTCGAATGGCTGGATTCGAACCCCCGTTCTCGTGATCGGAATTCCGCACCCTTAACCATTAGACTATTGGCGCTTTAAAACTATGTTTTTATAATAAGGTAAAATATTTAATTCTCTATTCTTAAGCTGCTTTATTTATTTCTAGGCACAATAATAACTCCAGTGGAGTACATAGGCGCGGTGACAACGCTCTGTATGGACAGACGTGGTGTGCCTCTGCCCTCAAAGGCACTGGATGATCAAATGACATTGATGCAATTTGTACTGCCTTTATCCGAAGTTGTGATTGACTTCCATGATACATTGAAGAGTATTACATCAGGTTTTGCTAGCTTCGACTATCAAGATCATGGATTCCATGCAAGTGCGTTAGTTAGGGTGAGTTCTATTTTTTTGGACTTCAAAAAGGTTTTTATATAAACCTTTTCAAATATCTTGCTAGCTCAATGTCAGCTGCGTCGTGCGATCCCTCTCCGCGCGACTCTACGCCCTGTTACTGAGAAAATTGTGTTCTGCGCAGCGAATTGTACGAAGTTCAGAGTTGTCAAGTTATCTGACAACCACAATACCTTAATTCTATGTTTTTTTTGCTTTCGACATAGGTCTTGTTCATAATCATGATTATAATAAAAATTAGTACTTCATAAAAAAAAATACTGAAATCTAAAAATACTTTTCTATACTTATTAAAATTTTATATTTTATCACAGTTGGATATTCTTCTAAATGGCACTTTAGTAGAGGAATTGTCAAGTATTGTCCACACATCCCGCCTTCAGTATAGCGCCAGAAGATTGACTGAGAAACTAAAGGAAATGATACCACGGCAGATGGTGCAGGTAAGTTTTATCGTAACTTTATGTTTTTGTTTACAATGATGTATATAAAATGAGTATATAACTTCATTTTTCAGATCGCAATCCAAGCAATCGCTTCAGGGAAAGTTTACGCTCGAGAGACAATTAAAGCATACCGAAAAGATGTCACCGCTAAACTGGTAAAGTTTATAATTTTCATAACAATAATATCATATTAGAATCGCTAAAGTTCATATTTATTAGCAAATATATTCGTTTACCTGTTTAAATATCCGTTAGTTACTAGTTGTTAATTAACTTACCGTCGGTTTCTGAGACTAAAATCTCAATTTAATCATATTGTTAACCCTTTTTTGGCAAAGATAATGACTGGGATGACGATATTATTTATACCAAGGTCTCAAAAACCAACCAGTAACATTGTTTGTATTCTTCAGAGATATATTGAGTACATTTATCTTTATATAACAGTATGGTGGCGACGTGACTCGTAGGAAGAAGCTTCTCAAACAACAGGCTGAAGGGAAAAAGAAAATGCGAAGTGTTGCCAATATAAAAGTGCCGCGAAATACTTTTATTGATGTATTAAAGAGATAAATATATGTCTGTAGTTTTACTTATTCGAAAATAAAACTTTACCAATACTTCTCATTTAAGGAAAACATGAAATTTTAAATTGCATTAAAAAATTACATACGAGTGAACTCTGTTAGTGATTTTTTTTTATCTCATAAGGTGGCAAACGAGCGAGCGGCCACCTGAAATCGCTGATATAGCGAAGTGACCGTTGCCCCTAGTCATACGCAATTGCATATGCGTTGCCTATCTTTAATCGACGGAGGAGAGGATGCACAGAAAGAAAATATATTCCCTTTCCATGCATTCTCTTATCCGGAAAGTCCACTTCCACTTCCCATCCTTTCCTTATAAGAAAAAAGGTACGAAGGGAAAGAGAACTAAATTAGGCCTCCGGGACGCACACTCGTCAGACGAAACGCGGAATTGCTTCCACTTCACGCCTGTCTTCTGTGTGGTCGTGGTATTTATTTACCACGATCTTAATGTAGGTTTCTATTGTCGAAATGTATTAAAACAAATTGTTGCCTCGCTCATTCTCTTTGAATGGACTGCGAAAATTTGTTTAGTAAAAGTGTTTCGGCTGTAGAAACTCGCAGTAAGAAGATAAGTCATACGAATTACACGCAGATAAGATATAAGAATAAACAAAACTTTCATATGAAATAAAAACAATAAAGTATTTAATCATTACAGATTATATGAAAAGTTGAATGCATGGTTATAAAATATTTGAAGCAATATAGATATCTATTACTTATAGACAGCTTATATTAAACAATAGGATATGTGTAAATAGTGAAATATAAATGGAATAATGCACGTTGCAAAATTATCATAGTCGCCATATTTTATCTATGTAAGAGAACACAAAAAAGTTTGGTATGTGTTACAAAGTTTTTAACAAAATTTGTTTTGTTTTACAAATACAAATGTACATGTATGTTTATAAAAAATCAATTATAAATTGGTTTCTACTGAGAAAATATTTCAATAAAAACATATTATCATGTCTCAAGTTCTCTTGGAAAAAAATTAGAAAACATATGCTTTTGAATGGGCACTTCCGGAAGTGAATACACACGGATACATAGTCAAAGTTTTCGTAAATATTTGATAAATAAAAGATGTCAGAAGTCAACCAGCACTGGGCTAGACTGAGGTGAACTCCGATCCCCTTGGTGACATATGACCCAACTATTATGATTGATTGACTTCTTTTGGAACATTAATCAGGAATTACAAATCTGTTGTAGATTTTTATACCATTAAAACTATAATTCTCTTTTACAAAACAAAATCTCGACAGAATATCAAATTATATTTAAAAAAAAAATATTAAAATTCCTTGCCTTTTTTACATGTTACTTGTTTCTTTCATACTAAGTAAATAGGCATATTTTGAAATACAAAATTCTACAATAAAACTGAATTTTTTTAACAACCAAATTAATTTCTCTAATTTGATATTTGTAGATGAGATATAATTTCTTAAATAAATTTAATTACATTTTCTTTCAGAATAACAATCATTATATTTTTTTTTCTACAAAAGAATAGTAATATTTTTTTATATAAAGAGCATTATTAAATTTCTTCTAATACGTAAGTCTACAACTGTTTTGGAAAATTGAACAATAATAAAATAGTAACAGCTGTACCTACAATTTTTAAGTCGCTAGACTAATATTAAACTCAATAGTTAAGATTTTATTAGAAAAATGCGTATCAGAATTTTTAAACGAATACGTACTGAGAATCTACGTATCTATTAGTATAATACCAAATTTTTTAACTATACAAACACTATAAAATATCTCTGATCGTATTAACCAATCAACAATTATATACAAAATGTATGAAATATAACAAAACATATGATTTCATATAACAAGCTAATATGTCGAGGAATTATTTTTAAGCACTTTAAGATTTTTTTTTTGGTGAACAAAGTGTGCAAATATTTAGGTAAGCATTTTAAATTAAAACATTTCTCAATTATTTTATCAAACTATGCCATTTTCTTCTTAAAAACAAAGCCAATAATAATATATTAATAATTTTCAAATATTTTACTTCTCAGTCAATTTATGTTAAAACATAACTTTCACAAAATTTGTTTCTAAACCAAATTCCATATATTGAATTTTTATTTAATTCACGCAGGTCGCTATAATGATGTCATTATGAATTGATTTATCTTTGGTACATAAAAAGAATATGAATGATATATAATTCTGAACATTAATAGAAAATAAACATTGATAAGAAATGTGTATACAAATAATTAAACAAAAAAGAAAATAAAGTCACATACCTAAATCTATTTTGTGATTGAAGCTTTGATATCTAACAAGTTTTCATATTAAATGGACCACTTTTAATAGCCTAGATTCTAGACCTTAGAATCTAGATGTGTAATATGGTCAAAAAGGCCATATAAGATTGTATTACAAATAAAAAAGCATTAAATTTTTATTTGAATATTTGTGATAAACAATAAGTGGAGCAAGTGATGTGAAAGTTAACATTTGACCATTTGTATCAAAATAGAAATTAGTTACAAAATTCTCAAGTGATTATATAACCACCATATTTCAATATTAACCGCTATACAAAATTATAAATCATTATCACATTTATCTGTCCTCAGAAGTTTCCAGAAATTGGGCATAGACATCTCTGTTGCATTCACCCTTTTCATTGAATTTGTATTTGTAGTATGATCCATCAGCACAAATTACTGTAATAAATATTTTTACTACACATAATTTGTACACACTCACAATATCACAATAATAGTATATTCACTAATAGAAATTGCAACAATTGTAATAAAAACAAACATATAAAGAAAGAGACACAATGGAAAAAGTCTTTGGTATGTCAAGATTGCACAGAAATACAAATACCTCTAATTCACAGCTAAATACTGTGTGCCATTGAGTTTCATTGATAAGAATTATACTAATAGTTATAAATAATATAACTTACCAATAATAGAACTCTTGTCAACCCCAAAAGCACAAATACAAGGCGGGCCATTTGGTATTGTAAATTTGCAGAAACTCCAATTGCTTGAGAAGTATTTTGGCAAGAAATTAACAGTTGCCAAAGTTGATTGTTTATTTAATTTGTCCTCTTCCAAACTGAATATATGCACAGTGCCATGATCAGATGTTACACAAAGATTTGTACTTGAATGATTGAAATTGATACAATATATTGTTGCCTGCAAAAGAAAACATGACAAATTATATTTCTAAACTGTTTGTTCACAACACTCCAAATGTAGTATGGAAATCTTAACCCATTCCATGTTATCAATAGCAAAAAACATAGAACAGAATGTGATGACACTTTGCTATACCTGATTTGGAAGATAACATTGCATTATATTTCATTAGATGTCTTGTATTGGAGTTAAAAATTGGAAATTCTTATAATGAAATATTAAGTTACAACATTATATATTACCTGATGTGCACCTCGCCTTAGCTCTGCTAATTTCTGTCCGCTGCTTGTATCAAATACTCTAATGAGAGTGCCCTTTGTGGATGCTGTGGCCAATCTTGTCCCACCCACATTCAGTGCTAAGCAGCTAAGTGGAGCTTCATGGGCACTTATAAGATGACCTTCTGGAGTATCACTTGATCCTGCTTGGTTACTTAACTCTACAAGCTGTTGGTAAAACATTCAACATTTTTAAAGATTTGCCACTTGAGGCTGTTAAGTATTAAGTTTGTAGAAACATGACCATGTGTTGGACATGGACATTTACAGTTGTATTTAGTATCTTACTACTTAATTGATAGCAAAAATACCATGAAGATTGATAGCCATATTAAAAATGTAGGCTAATCACAGTAAAGTAAAAAATCAACTTAATAAACCATTTAAATGTATACCTGAACATGTCCAGTTTTTCTGCTAGGGTAAGCAAGCAAAGCATTATTACTGTTCGGACATACAACACACAGTCCACGGGAATTCTGACATGTTTCAAAAACATGAAGCAGTAGTGGTTGTGCAGTAAAAGTATACACCTTTATCAAGTTCTCTGGAAAAATAAAATCAAATAATAATACAGTAAAATGTGTCGTAATTAAGAAAACTTTTTAAAGTTACTTTCTTACCTAACACCACAACTATCCTATCTCTTCTTAATTTAACTGCCTTAACAGGACTGTTGAAATCAAGCGATATCGCGGAATCTTTCTTTAAATCGTCCCATATTATAACTCTGTTCGGGGGATATAATGGGGTTTTACCTCCGCCGACAAGAGCCATATAGTTACACCGATATAGCATTTCTACGTAAGATAAGCCACCTTCCGCAAAATTCTGGCGTTCTTTCTCCTTAAGTGGGTCACTGTTAAACACTCTAAAGCCATTCTCCGTTCCACAAGCGAAGCAACCTGAAGAAATTACAAAACGAACAATTGGCGAAATAACATTAACTTGCAACATGATAGCGCTTGGCCTCTTTAACTTATTACTAGCTATACCTTGATCCTGATTAAATCCCACGTATAACAACCCATTAGAAAACATGTTATCGTCCGACAAATTCATTTTAAAACGAAATCTCAAAAAAATTTAATCAAACAACAATGGACTTTTAGTAATCATCCATGACCCTACTTTGCGGCTGTTTGACACAAAACTCACAAAAATAATGTTGACAACTCTGTTGACATTTATTTTCACCAACAATTATTGGCACAGATGAAACGTCAAATAATTCGGGAACTTGTGTATAATTGTTTGTGGCTGCCTTTTATTTTTTATCTGTTTTTAATGTCAATGTCATCGATTCAATTGTCAGTTTGTCAGCAGTTGTCAGAAGAAGTGTTGAAAATTAAAAAATAAATCGAAAATAAACAAGTTTTGTTCAAGTAAACTACCTGAAATTTCATAATGCTCAAACCCAAAGCTTTGACACAAGTGCTTAGTCAAGCAAATACAGGAGGAGTAGAAAATACACTGTAAAACATTTAATAAAATTCTAATTGGTTTCTGAAATGTTTGCATTGTCTTCATTATCCTGTATTTGTAGGTTGCTGAACCATCAGGGAGCTCTTCTGGCTTATTCAGGATATAATGATAAAGATGCCAGGGTCACAGCTGCAATTGCTAGCAATGTTTGGTCAGCATACGAAAAGCAAGGCAGGAATGTTTTTAAAGAAGATAAACTGCATCTCATTTTAGTTGATTGTCAAAATGGTAAAATTGCAATTACACAAGTAGCAAATTTATTGTTATGTTTGTATGCAAAAGATGCCGTAGGTTTTGGTATATTGAAAGAAAAAATAAATGCCATTGCACAATATCTGGAAGGACCTCTTAAGCAAGTAGCAAGTTCTTAACCTTCTAAAATCTATTTTATGTAAACTATAATGTTAGTTATAATGTAAATAAGAAAATTTTGTACATGATTGTCAAATTTATGATTGTTTTATAAATTCAATTTTACAATTAAGTTTTAACCATAAGCCTCATATGTGTATTTAATAAAATTGATAACATGAATACTATTGTTTTTTTTAACTCTTAGCTTTAGTATATTGAACCATTTCATTTTATGCCAGAAACACAAATTATGATTGATAGTGAGTTATTCTAATACATGGCTATTCTCAATTATACAGCTAGTGCTGTACACATTAAATTATTTTATGTGATAGATAAGTACTGTTTACTAGGTCACAGAAACTAAAAATGTTAATAAAAAGAAGTATATTTATTTTAACACAGTACAGTGAGTACATAAAATAATGACTACTTCATTTTCTTTTGTTTAATTAAATAATTCCTAAATGCTACTTGTTTTTCTTTAAAGGACCTTTTAACTTTGCCTTTAGCTTTATGCTTAACCATTTGATAAGCTTTTGTCTTTCTCTTTTCTCTATTAGTTTTGGAGCAGTTGGCATTCTTCCTTCTGTCTTTGTAACCATATTTATCTCTTTCTTCTCTTCCTTTGTGAACAGATTCTAGTCTGGCATTTTTGTCATGTTTCCTTTTTTTATGAATGTTTTCGATAGCTGATAACTGTACAAGTTCTGTTGATTCCTCTGGTTCTTCAACAGCACTTTTATTTCTTTTAACACCACTCACACATTTCTTTATTTGAGCAGCTTCAATGCGTTTGAAATCTTCGTCAGTAAAAATTGTATCCATTGCAATATTTCTTGCGGTTTCAATTTTTTCACTAATATCTTGCTTGGTATCTTTTCTCTTAGCTTTCAATATTTTTCTGTCTTCAGTACTATCGTTAATGTTACCTTTAGAATTCTGTTCATTATTTACTGAATCATCATTAACACTGCCATCTTCTCCATCTGTAGAATTACTTTTAGTTTCATCTCCATCATCACTACCATCTTCATCACTATCTGAAATATCTATCTCGGAATCTGATGAAGCAATATCAACCCATTCATCATCTGAATCTCCTCCTTTCTTTTTGGGCTTCTTTTTATTTTCAACGGGTTTTACTTCTTTCTTCTCTAATAAGACCTCTGAACCTGGTATGTAACTTTTAATGTCCATTTCACCATACTGTTTGGATTTTAGTTCTGCAAGTGCTTCTGTTGGTCTTCCTCTATCTTTCTTGTGGAGCAAATTTGGCATATTCTGCCGGTATAGTTGAATTAATGACCTAGCAGCCATCATAACAGATTTTTCTTTGTACATTTTATATTGTACTAAATCTCTGAGTAGATCTTCTCCAACTGCAAGTGGGCACCTGGCACATATTTCACGAACTGCATTTAAACCTACTGCCATGACATCAGTAGAGTTTCTTTCAGTTATAAAATTATTTGCAATTGCTTTCATCACTGGTTCTAAGACTTCAGGAGGCACAAGTTCATGTGAAGCTTGGGCAGCAAACTGCAAGATCCTCGTTACTTCTCTTTGGTGAGGCATTATAAGTCGAGCAATAAATGGATAATAATTGAACAAAAACAAGTTATGCAAGCCTATTAACCTGGAAATAACATCTAGTGACATTAGTTTCACTTCAAACCTTTCATTAGATGACTCCAGTTGTTTAAATAATTTTTCGGCAAAACCTTGTGGGTTATTTATAAGATGTAATGCTGAAAAGTTGAATATTGGAGCTTTTTCCTTCTTCCTTTTCATTTTCTTTGCAATTTTTTTAACTTTATCAACCATTTTCTCCCTTTTCCTTGTCTTCTTATTGAATTTGTTGGATATCATTGTATCTCGAGGATCAATTTCATCTTCACTGTCTGAATTTTCTTGTTTCTCTTCTTCATCTCTACTTAAGAAAAATTTCAAAGAAGCAACCATGACTTTAGTTATTTTCGAGAAACATCCAATATCAGCAATTATATTCACTGTTTTATGGTCATTCCAGATGTTTTTATGATACAATTCAATTAATATATCTACAGCTAATTTAGCAGTCTTAGCATTAGAGTCCCAAAGCATAGAAAATATAAAATTTTGCAGTGTTGAATTTAGTTTCATGTCCTTATGTTTCATATTCATGTTCTTTATGTCTGTGATGATATGAGTTTTCAGATATTCTCTAAGATTTTTGTCTTGGCATTTTATTAATGTAAAAAACAGCTCAAGCAAATCATACGCTGTAACAAAGTTTTTGTTTCTCAACAATATCAAGCATTTACACAATGATAATCGCATATCACTGTGTAAAATAGTATTATGGGTTTTCAAAATATCTACTATCTTCTGGGGAAAAGTTTTCATATCATTTAAATAACATTGTGTAACTTGCGCTAAAAACATGGCCTGCTCATCAAGTTTCTTGTTGTATTGTGTGGGATTGAGATTGAATATTTCCAACGTAGTTTCAAAATGAGCAAGTTGCTGACGAAATTCATCTTTGTAGGATTCCGGATCTCTTTTGATTAGATTTTGTAGCTGAGTCAAATTGTTTGGTAACTGATTGTTATGTCGCACCATTTTTATGCCATAAATCCGTATAGGCTTTTAGATACCTTCTTGTTATTTAAAGAAATAAATGTTTTTAGCAGCACGTGAAAAAAACATAACCTCAATTTAGTTTTCACGCCACTTTGTTGACGTTGACATAAGCATGACAATATGATGTCAAAATGTTTTTTTTAAATAATTTATGGTTCTTGATTCTTGTGTTTCAAAATACAGTCAAAACATACATCTAAAATACATTTTTAGATGAATTCAAATTAAGCTTCATTAACATATAAATAACTGGGTTAAGGGCATGTAAATAATGATATTGTACATTTTTATTTTATAATTTATACAAAAGTCTCTTACTTCGAAATATATCTTACATTCATTCTTTTTCAACTCTTAAATTACTTCTTCAATACTTTGTTCTGGTGAATCTGTAGATTCAGTGTCCTCTTGTGGTTTTTGTTGCAATAATTTGAGTTTTTGTTCCAACCCTAAAAATATTGATTTTTAATCGTAAACATAAATTATTTATAATTTTCTTGTTTGATTTAGGTACATGGAGAATTGATTCAAAAATTAACGTAATCGTACTATTCCTAACAAACCCAACTTACGTTCAACATCATGGTGATTTGGAGCGTGTTGTATTAATAATTTGAGTATTTTTTCTTCTGACAGCAATCCGGGTCGTCCACTTATCGCGTGGATAAGCTGCTGGCCACTGGCAACTCCTTGGAAGATATATGCAAATAAATATAATTGATTATTTACAGTACATATATTTCAGACTATATAGACTAGATAGGTATTAGTTAATAAAAGATAACTGGCTTTTTAAATATAATATGAAACATAATTTATATGGTTATTTTAATTTACCTGCATTAATATCTCCCGCTTCTAATAGCTTTTTCACCTCAATAAAGCGCTTCAAAAATGAGCTTTGCTCCTGCAGGGCCAATGTTTGTGATCCTAAAAGTAAATTTACAATTGTAATTTTTTGATAATAAATGTGGTAAAGTAGTAGTATAAAAAATAACTATTCTTATTAATACGTTTTTTCATTAATTTCTAAGTTACCTATTTCAGCATCTGACGACTTAGCGATGCAGCGAGAAGCTTCTTTTAGAGCTTCCAGTGCTTTTTCATAGTTCTATAAAATTAATATTTTATGATTATGTGTAACATGAAGAAATTTTGCTAAAATAATGATATTCTATTCTTACATCATAATCTTCTATCTCCATCTGCGCGCACTCTGCGTAAAAAGCGGCGAGTTTGGCATATGCCTTGGCGCGTGTGTAGAAGTGCAGCACGTGGCGAGTGAGGTCGGGGCGCGCGCGCCACGCTGCTCGCCGCCGCAGGAAATCGGCCGCCATCAGCTGCGCCACTCGGTCGCGCGACGCTGCCGCAAACGTCGCGATACGATCCGCGTCGCCCGACCGCAGCAGCCAGCGCATCGCACCTGCCTTACAGTTTAAAATACCATTGAGAACCTCACGCCCGTGATCTATGAGGGTAGACAGAAATAACTGTCTTCTATTTTTTACATTTCTGGCAATCGCACTCTCTCTCGATATACATAACTGAATTGATTGCCACTAATTTAGATTTTCCTCAGCTTTAGTCAGTTTTTTAAGAACAAATGATCAAATCTTCTCTTTTTTTTAAATCAAAATTAGTACTAGTGAGATTAGAAAAACCATTATTGGTTGCCCTCTTCTGTTTAAAAAATAATGTACCTTATCCCCGGCATGTGCGAGTCGTTTAGCAGCCTGGTGGTAGAGTCCGCGTGCGCCGAGCACGTCAGCCAGCCGCCGCAGCAGCGCCACGCGCCCGTCAGTACCGGCCGGCGCCGCTAGACGCTCGCTCAACTCCTCCGACAACGGGGCGCTGGAATCTTCTACTATGTCCAACGCCTCTTCATACTGTTACATATTTATTATTCACCCACCAGCCAGAGCTTCGCTCGGATAGACGAAGAAAATGTAGCCTAAATTAATCGCCGAAAGCTACTTTTTTCAGTACTTTTTCAGTCTACAGCAGCAGCAAACAATCAAATCTTTTCTTTTCGTAGTATAGGATTCGTATAAGTAGTTCATTAGTATAGATTTAATATGAGAATTTTTTTGTTGTAAAATATTAGCAGATTTTTTTGTAAATTTACTATTATTTCTTTTACCATTTCAACTAAGCTCTATGCTAGGATATGGTTTTACGACAATAGTCGAATGGATTCGAACCCCCGACCTCGTAATCGGAAATCCGTACGGATTGACCATTAGGCTATTGACCCTTAGAATTCCACAGTTAGTGACTTCTAAGTAATCATCAAATAACGGCAGAAAACTACAATTGGAATCTATGCAGACATTAGAACGTTTAATATTAATTAAATGATAAAACATCACCTTGCCAGCAGTAGCGAGCAGTGCAGCGGCATGTGAATGGTGGTTAGTAGTACGTAGATGAGCGGCTAACGTTTGGGCCAATTCGGGGTCGACGCGTTCTCCGAGCGTCTCTACAGCTGTCACCAGCGCGTTAGTGTCGCCGCAGCTCAACGCGAGCTTTAATGCCATGTGCGGTTTGCCTGAAAAAAAATTATCAAATATCACATTTTAATTCTGAAAAATACCTGTAAAGCAATGAAAATATGTATTTAATTAAACATAGACATCATTAGTCCTATGTCTTCTTCCCGATAGTGGTCTACATCTATACCAATTTTCATCCAGATTCATGCTGGAGTTACAATCCAACAAATATCCAAACATACGCATTTAAAATATTAAAGTATGATTAAGGTTAACAATTAATATTAGACATTTTTACTGTAGTACACATTTTATAATCTTACCTGCTTTTTGATACAAGGCGATAGCTTGATCGTTTTGGCCCGCGTTTTCTAGTATGGATGCAGCATATACAGAGTGCCTCGTAGATACAGATCCCGCCCTGTACACCAAATTCCAAGCGTTCGCTTCCGCTGCTACTCGGATTGCCGACGATATCACTCCACATTTTATATACATCTATAATATTAAAGTATTTAAAACAAAATTAGTAGACATATTAAATATAAGTAATTTAAACATTTAATAATCTGTTAAATATTGATGAAAAAGTACCTTAACAGCAGCATCAGGTTCCTTACTATTCATCTCTAAGTATCGCGCCATTTGATAGAGCGAAGAAGAATTTTTCTGACATAATTTTTCCGCTTCTTCAATTCTATCCATGTTGCAGAGTAATCTTGTTTGTTCTCCAAAGTCGTTGGCGCGGGCGTAAGCTTCCAAAGCCCCGTCTACATCCCCAATACTCTCAAGATAATGACCCCACCAAGTTATAAGTTTTGGATCATTAGAACTACGTACATATTGCTCAAGTACGGACGCCTGTCCTTGAGCAATTAACATTCTCGGAACATGAGGAACTAGAGTTCCTGCACTTTCGAACAATTTTAAAGCAGGTCCAGTTTCTCCATTAGCCCATAAGACTTTGGCCAATTTATGTTGTGCGCTTTTTACAAGAAGTACATTCTCACTATTATTATCACCATTTATAATTTCATTGAGTCCGCCCTCTTTAGCGGACTTCAATCGTGTTATAAGATCTGGTCTTTGAGATTCTTTAAATAGCTCTTCGGCCTCCTCGATCATTCCTAGATTAACAGCCAAAACTCCTACTTTACAAGTGTCGTCCATGCTATCGTTGTTCATGGCTTGTCGCAGCATCAAAGCACCTTTAATGTTGCCCATCTTACTCAAACATATTGCACCAACATCTGCACGTTTAAGTGAAACACAAACCTTGGCCAGGCTATCCCATATTAAAGCACTTTTACTACCAGTCGATATATTCGTTCCAACCACAACGGCTTTCTCTAGATTACCCGTCGTCATGTAATAAAGAAAATTAAGAACATTTCGATGTTTACTTTGATCCTGATCATCCTCATCGAATCCTTGAATAAGTATTTTCTTAATGTTTTGTTGCGTTAGTATAACAACAAATGGCGTATAGATAGAACAAAGTACGAAATCGGATAAATAATATTCTTCTGATGATGAACACCAATTCTTATATTCGTAAAGTTGACCTTCTTGACAAAAGAACAAGTGAATGCTATCAACATCTGCAGACCTCATGTGGACTCCGACAAGTCTTGGATCGTTGTTATCCCACAATATAGTTATGGGAACGCATTGATATGGGGGAACTGAGTTCTTTGATATTAAAGTATTTGTAATTACGTCATTAGCTACATCCCACAGATAGAGTCTAGGATCAGGTGCTAAACCGGAGTTTGCGATACTTAGACAAATATATTGTCCTGATGAATTCACAGATGCTCTCATGATTTCACCAAAATCTTCCATCATTTGATAACAATTTTTCGGAGGATAAGGCGTTTTAAGTCCTTTCTTTGTTATTTCAGCGAGTTTTAAAGTACCATCCATAGAAGATATAACAATAAATTTGTTTGTATTTGTGATTCCAATGGGCTCACCTTCAGTTTCAGAGCTCGGTAGGACACCTAACTTAGTGCCAGTCATGTTGTAAGTTTCGACATGTGGATTGACAACACCAACAAGTATATCATTGTACATTATAAGGACATCTGTTTTCCATGAAAATGTACGTAAGAGGGAAAATTTTAACTCATTTTCTTTATTTGACATCCATATCTGTAAAACAAGCAAAAATAACATTAGTATTTTTAAAGTGTACTAAGAAATAATCTTTATATGTATAATACTTCTGTGAGTGTGTATGTCACTGAACTTCTCTCAAATGACTGGACCGATTTTGATGAAATTTTTTGTGTGTGTTCAAAGGGATCTGGGAATGGTTTAGATTCACAATTTTGTCCGCTGGACAATGTTTTTTTAATTAATTTTTAATTTATTAGTAGTTGTTGATTTTGGAATGTTTTACATTGGATCCGACAGACGGCGCTACCATCGTAGTGTCAAATTTTAAATAATATTCGAATTTTCAAATTAAAGACGTGTAGACAGGACAACGTCTGTCGGGTCCGCTAGTTATAGATGTAAAACAATGACAAAAATGACAAAATGTAGAACATTTTCCCTTTTATAAGAACTATGGGAACAAAATTATAGGTATTGTGTATTGGTGTTGAACTTGATAGAATGGTTGATTGGAATTACTATGGGAACTTGCATAGGTTAATAAAAAAATATGTTAAAAAAAATTGTATTCATTTACCTGAACTTCATTTCCATCTCCTAGTGCAACATAATTTTCTTTAAATGCAAGTGCCTTGATCGTAATTGTTGAATTAATAGTTGATGTAGCATTTTGTTTATCTATAACAGCCACTTCATTGGCTGATTTTTGCACCATCTGAATGTTATGTGAGAATCCCCAACACACATGTTGCTCACGGAGTATGAATGCATTTGTTATACAATTAACATGCAACAATGGATTCATCAAACCTTCTGAACCCCAACTTACTTCCTTTACCGTTCCTTTCACTGATGTGCTACTTATAAGCTTCCAAGTGTTTCTTGGATCTCGTCTCCAGAGGTACAAGTAACCTTGGGAGGTTCCACAACATAATGTATCACTCAAGTTACAATAACTTATGCTTGTGAATACATCCCCTTGAACTGTTTCTTCATTTTCATTTGGCAGTACATCATTATCTCCATTTTCACTGTCCCAAATTCTTATCAAGTTATCCCCAGTTATAACGGCAACGCAAAAGTTTCCTGCCAGGACTATACATTGACCATTTCTAGCTGTCATTCTAACATGAGTATCTGTAGTCAGGGAACCATCATTTGATGTAATAAATCTTGTTAAGCTTAATGCTCCAGCTGACTCCCATGCAATGAGAAGATACATGCTACCAATAATGTCCATGAATACAACATTACCTGGTGCATTAAGAACCTCCGAGCAAGCACCTGCATGATCAATATACAATATAATACCATTGTCTTGAGCAGCATAACATGCATGATTATCAGGCTGAACTCCTTCCCTCACCCTAGCTGTTGTCCGTGGTCTCCAAGCGGCCAATGCATCTAATGCATTCTCATCACCAGCAACCGCTGCTCTAGCTAAACCCCTAATTGATGATTCTGTATTGGAATGAGGAGAACAAAATCGGATGTGGGTTATGACATCTCCAAGTTGGTGATGAAATGCAGTTAATGGTGCACCAGACCCAGACTGCCATCCAGAGAGGGAACCTGCAGCATCAGATGCAATCAACCGTCCGCCACCGGGACTAAAATTGACTGTAGTTAAAGCAGTATTATGGGGCGCTTCTAGCCGCGCCCAAGAATATTCAAGCCATATGTATAGTTCTCCCCCATCCCAACCAACAACTAAAAGTTTCCTTATCGGATGCCATGCTAATGCTGTTACTTGATTAGATAAAAGTGTTGGCCAGTCGCAACCTTCTAAAGCATTTCCCTGTAAAAGAAACGAATTAGATATTCAGTTAGAGATTATTAATATATCGAAATATATGATGGTAAAGATTGAAGAGCATACATACATTTTCGTGAAATATAGTCACAAATCCACCTTTTTCTTGATTATATGAACCAACTGCTAATAGTGGAAGTGAAGGGTGCCATGAACCAATTGTTGAAACAACGTTTCCATCAGCAAATTTTAACTTTGTATCAATGTACAAAGTCATATCGTATATATACGAAAACGGCGTAAATTAACTAAATTACAAAGTTATAACGATTACCAAATCAGATAACGTTTAGTTCCTACAAATTCATTAAAAAGTTTTGAATTTTCCATTTATTTTTTAAAGGTGGTGTTTACGTCTTGTTTGCTTGTTACTATGGTAACGAGATCAAGATTTGTACAAAGAATATAAAGTGATAGATCGTTATTAATAACTTATATCATGATACTACTTATGTATCATTATAATTATTTTATGACAGTTTTCAAATTACCATTAGCAATTTATATAGATTTTGATTTAAGTCAGTTAAATTATTTTTGTCGGTCAAATATTTGCCTAAAATCTCTGCTCAACTGAACTGACATACTATCGGTCACCTCTGTATGTGCTTTTTAGTTTGCTGTCAACTTCAAACTATTAATTGTCAAACTTACACCCAGATTTTGGGCATAGTGCCTTGTTTTTCTTGAATTTTTTAATAGGACACAATTTTTTCCATCTTTTAAACTTATTTCAGGTATTTTCTTTCAAGCAATTTTTGCATTAATAGTGTTAAATATTTGCATTTACTAAATAATTCATCAATATAAGATGTGGTATCTAAGTTCTTCAAGTGATCCTAGAATTATTTACATTTTACCAGATAAAGAAATTGTTGTTGGGAGAAGTGTTGATACTGAATGTTGTAATTTCGCCATACCAGATGACTCTTCTATTAGTAGGAAGCATGCATCTTTGTCAGTTTCCGGTTATGACTTGATTTTGCAAGATTTAGGCTCTAAGTATGGGACCTTTATAAATAACTTTACAGAAAAGTTAGAGAGTGGAACAAAACACAAAATAAACATTGGAGATAATATTAAATTTGGAAAGTTAAGTAGTGAATGGAAAACACATTTCATAAATTTGACATCATGTACTTCAACATTAAAAGGAGAATGTGTTAAAAAGTTAAAAGAGAATCTTAATAAGTTGGGAGGTACATTGAAGAATGACTGGGATAGTTCTTGTGGATATTTAACAATGCCTGCTATCACTTTAACCATAAAAGTGGTTCTTGCATTAGTACAAGGATCATATATAGTCAATACTGAATTTTGGAATAAATGTGTGGAAGCAACTGCTAAGTTGATTACATTACCTGATCCAAAAAACTATATGCCACAAATTATTGAGTCCATACTTAACAAAGAAACAGTTTCCTTTTTACCTGATGAGAAGAGAAAAACATTGTTTGCCGGCAAAACATTTATTTTTTTCTCAAGGAGACAACTTGATATGTATAAAAATGTTCTTATAAATAGTTCAGCATCTGCTCTTTTATTAAGTGAAACAAAATTGACAAAGTCAATGCTCTGTGAAGGAAACAAAATTGTTATACAATATAACCTAATATCAACAAGTCAAGAATCACAAGTTCAGCGTAATCAAATTAATGACCTTGTAAACTATTTAAAAAGTAAAGGTAAAAGGGTTATAGCAGATGCAGAAATAGGTTTGGCAATTTTATATTGTTCTTCAAGTAAATATTGTAATCCAGACTTCAATTTCCCAACTGAAGTGATTAAGAAGACATCCAGTGAAAGTGTTACACCCGCAAATATATTGGCTCATGAATCAGAAGACCCTCTACCTTCTGGTTGCAAACAGGAAAAAGTAGTAATAGATGAAAGTTTAAATTCTAAAATAGATATTTCCACAAGTAATGATGATTTTAGTATTTCCAAAAGAAAAAGAGTTGAAGAGGATATGGATATGGCAAATCCTAATAAGAAAGTGGCCATTGATAAAGATACAAAACATAGTGAAACATCTAATTCAGCAAAGAGAACGTATGAAGACAGCGATGGTATGGATTCAAATCCAGTGAAGAAAATAGCTATAGAAACTCTTAATGAAGATAATGACTTTTTTAATTTCACTGCATCAACATCAACTCGAATTGAATCTAGTGAAAGTAAAAAATTAAATTTAATGAAGCCATTAAAGAGGAAACAAGATTTTGTAGATGATGAAGATGACAATTTATTTAATTTTGTTGAAGACAATCCTAAACCTACAAAAATCTTAAGAGATACATTGGAAACTGAAAGGACTATTTGGAGTAAGCACAATAACTTAAAGGAGGAAAATAATATTAACTCTGTTTGTGAAAAATTTGAAATATCTGCTTTAAGAGGTATTAAACTAGATGAGTTAATGCAGAGTAATTTAAAAATGGAATATAAAGCAAAGGTAAAGTCCGAAGATGATAGTGGTTTAGATGAAAAGCTTAATAATCTTGATTTAGGATCAACTACCATAATTTTGAGATCAGACTTAATTGTGAAGAAAGAGCCTGTACAACTGAATTCTGATGAGATCAAAGTTAAAAATTTCAAGAAGTTTAAAAAGGTATGGCCAATCAAGATGCAGATTAGTATTATATCAAAATCATCTGCAGCATCTCATGATGGATCTGATAAAAATAACATATTAAGCAATATTGCCCTGTAAAATAAATGTGTATGTTGTTTCTAAAATATGTATGATTGTATTTTATATTATGTTAAAATAATTATTGTTGATTTTATAATGACAATAAAAACTTAATGAGAAAAAAGGATTTTTATTTTTCATAGTTAATAGTTCACAATAGTTTAATCTTCTTCACTGATTTCAGCTTCAGAATTACCTTCTTCACTCTCATTTTCATCTTCCATTCTGTCTTCATCTTCTATATTATTTTCCTCTTTATTAATTCTAAAAGTAAAACATTATCTAACAATTTTTTTAAAAAAAAAAGCAAATAAAAAGACCCCTTACAAAATTCCTTATGTTGATGCACAACTTAGACATCCACAAAACTAAATTTGTAGCCTGTCTTTAATGCACAGAAAATGTATTACCTTTTCTTATTCTTTCCTACAAATCTAATTCCCCTTCCCATCCCTTTACAAAAGAAGGGTGAAAAGTGACCTTTTAAGAATTAAGTTTTTTTCACTCACCTATCTCCTTTTTTGGGTTTCTTTACATGCACAGTACCGTCAGGTTCTACTCTAACTGTGCTGCCTGGAATAGTACTTAGCTCATCTTCCACAGTAGTAAAGTGCTTGGGTTTCTTATGTGCTAGCTTAGGAATTCCAACAGTATTTATTGATCCTGTTCAAAAAATATATAACATTAACAAAGAATCTTTATCACAATAAAGGTCTTAAAACTTTAACATAATGAAAATAATGGTCAATAATACAAATATATACTAATATTAGCTATCACCCGCAACTATGAGCGGAGTTAAAAATACTTAATTAGTAGCCTATGTGTTCTTCTAGGTTATGTTCTATCTATGCCAAATTTCTATGCAGCCTTTTTAATATACATTAAACAAACATCAGTCCATCAATCTAAACATACACATTTATAATATTAGTAAGGTGTTAATCAGTGTAGTACTTACTTAGTGTAAGATACAAAGGCAATGACAATGATAATGGCAGTTTTAGAGATATAGCCCTTATATTGGCCTCTCCACCTGGATATCTGTCTTTCAACTGACTTATTAATGACAGAATATTCTCTTTCAAATCATTTTGTGCCATGCTTGTATGACCAACTAAAATAGTTGAAGTGTGACCTTCGTTCAAACGAAGCATTGTAGTCCTCAATCCTACGGTAACATCTTTTTTGATATTCCCTTTCTCATTCACTTTGACTGGTATCAACATATTGTGCTTTTTGAAAAACATTTTGCCCAACAAATGTGAGGCATGATTTAACACCCTTGTGTCAACCATAATGAAGTCATGTTGTGTTAATAGTCTCCGTTTTAATTCAAATTGATCATATTCCACCTTCAATTGCCTTAAAGGCAAAACCGTTTTGACCTTAAAAAAATTAATAAACAGTATTCTTTTTAAAATTGATGTTAAAAATAAGACATAGAGTAAGCCTACAGTTTGTAAAGAAAATGCTTACCTCAGTTACTCCTGCTTCCTGAAGAATATCTTTCCAATGATCTATTGTTGGTTCATGATCAATTCTCTTTCCTTTTTTTAAATCGGGAGTAATAAGACAAATTTCTCTAGTAGATGCAGCTGTACTGTGTGGCAGCACACTACAAAATTAAAATAAAATTAACAATATAGATGTTATGTGTACAACTTTCACAGGGGAAGCATCATTGAAATATTACTTACAACTTGACATTTCCTCTACTGCGAGGTATTTTAATACAACGTATTTCTGCAAAAATGGAGGTTTCAGTACCGAAAATTGTATTTTTTTTGTTATGGTGTATGGTTAGTTTTTGTAGAGCATTGAGGCAGGAATTAACAAGATCTTCCTTAACTGCTTTTGATGGCATCACATATTTAACTTTCTTTGCCTTTACCACTTCTTCTGTGTCTTTAGGTACTTTATGATCACCAATATTGTCCAAAATCTTCTTATCTTCTTTTACATTAATTTTTTCTTCAGCATTTTTATGTAGTTTACCTAAACTTCCATTCTCCTTTACCTTGGTTATTTTCTTAGCATTTACCTTTACTTTACGTAACTTATTAACACTAACATCTTCAGAAATCTTATTATTTTTCTTTGCTTTAATAATTTCTTTGGAGTCTTTTTGTAGTTTCTCTACATTTACATTTTTCAAAATATTGGTAATTTTCTTTTTCGCATTAACATTGCTTATCTTTTTATTCGGTTTGAGTTTAATACTTTTCTCTTTGCGTTTTTCTAAATTAGGTTTGACGGAAACCATGGTATAAGGAAATATTTTTAATAAAACAATTAACCCTTGTTTACTCGTTAGTTTTAAAATATTTTAGGTTATAAGTAAGGTTAAGACATGACACATGAGCACATGACATTTGTCGAATTGACAGCAACACACGTGCTCGGCCGGCTTAGTGCTTCCAAGACTGTTAAAGTCAAAATAAAATCGATTTATTGAAAATGAAAATTTGATTTTGCTTGCTTTTTTTCATTTACATCATTTAATAAAATTTATTCAGATGAGTAATAAATATCTATATCTACTGTAATAAGGGGTATAAAAAAGTAGTAGAATATTTATGTGCGTAAAGGCCAGGCATAGTATGATCATAGTTAACAGTAGCAATTACAGAGGTGCGATATTGTATTGCTTTAGACTTTTGGCAGCGGTCCAGCCGCCTCTCGTCGGCATCTAACGTGTAATCGAGTGCGATCTTTCGGTAGGCTGATTATTCTTTTTCTAATAATGCCTAAACTTCAATCGAGGGGGAGGGGCACATAGAAAAAGAATATTTCACCTTTTTATGTCTCTTCCGACAAATTCACTTCCCCTTCCCAACCTTTCCCTATAAGAGCAGGGTGGAAAGGGAAAGAGGACGGCACGCAGACGAAACGCGAAGTTGCTTCCACTTAACGCCTGCCTTCTATGTGGTCGTGGTATTGCACCAGGCGAGCCGACCAATTCGTGCAATACATGTTGTGCTGGCATCTACCACTGTTAAAATGTGTAGACAGATTAAATGGCTACAGTCAAAATTTATGTTCGAAATAATCACGTAATATAAAATCAGAGATGCAAGCAGCAACAATTTATAGTCGACTTCTTCTTTTATTCAACAGATTACACCGGCCTCTGTATTGCTCGATGAACAAGAACAAAATATATTATTAAAGACGCGGTAATCATTCTATCCCGGTAACTTACGTGAGAATTAACCCGACAAACTTACTACCTACGTGTTGGTGTAAGATCTTCATGCACATAGTTTTAATTATGAGTTTTAAATATAGCTGCAGTGCTTATTTTTTGTAATGAACACGTTGATAGCAATCACTCTAGGTATGCTTTATGTATCTTTTTTTTGGTTCAAAATGTCGGAATAAATATTTCTTTTCAGTATTAAATAAAACCATAAATTCTCTAACCAAGTGGACGCCTGTTACTTTATTTAATTTACTGTTTGCACAAACGAAAGCAGTAAAAAACTAAACAAATTGCACTACTTCGATGCAGCTTCCAAGCCGAGCTATCTTCTAAATAATTACATTATCTACTTTATATCTTTAACCGTAACAATCAAAACTTTTTTTTAGATTATTTATTTTCCTATTCACTATACATAATGGCATTATGGACTACGCTTTGGTTATTTATCCTAATCATTGAATTGCGGAATTGGAAAAAAAATTGTTACTCTTATTTACTTCTATGTATACTAAGCCTATGTCACAGTTTTGCTACATTTTATTTAATTATTTGTAAAATATTACATTCATGTCTGATAAAATTACAAAGTTATAGATATGGCCGTGTTCGTTTGTTAACACAAATATTTGGACGTGATTAGGATCAGGATTTAGATTTAGCTTACTTATAACATTATATAATAAAATCCCAGTATATACATAGTAAACAGTTATTATGAATATTTAATCTTCAATTGCATATTTTGCCACCTCGTCGAATCGCATTACTATCGCAGCGGGTACAATAAGCTACGCTCCAATGAGTGCAGAATAATTATTCTCTTTGTCGCCTTATGACCTACTGCATTTTAAAAATATGAATCATTTGATCCTAAGCGTAGATTTAGCAAATTAATTCTACAAATATTTCTTAGTGACCAATTAAAAACCTTGAGAGCGACAGTATGTTACTCAAGGTGGGTTTTCATTGATAACCATATTCAATGACAATTTGAAACTACAATGAGATAATATTGCTGATCAAAAACGCGATATTTTTATTGCTAATAGAGTAGATATGGAGTCAGCAGGTTTATATAATCATAAGTAAATCTTTAAAAATCGTAAAAACAATAATATTTTTTAACGGGAATTTTGTTGTCAAAAACCTATCGTAAGTCAGACAATATAATGTGTCTACCATAAGTATGTTGGCAACAAGTTCTAGAAGTCAAAATTGTAAAGGAAAACACCAAATGCAAGGGAGTGTTTTGGAATTATTTTGTCAACAGTCTATTATGTCACCCTGTATAAAACAAACTGAGAGGCACCTTTTACATCAATGAGTAAGAGAAAAGATTTTATGAAAAAACGTAATGAAAAAACGATTTTACGAATCGTAATTCCTAACGATATAAAGTTAAGTGCAAATTCAAACTGCGATGTAAAACCAAGCAGCTATCGGGTACATAAAGTTTTCAACGATTCCATGTTAAATAAATGTATAAGAAAGTTTACACACAGTAACAAGGCTTAGACGGATTTCGTTTGTGATTCTCTGAAAAGTTGTAACACTAAAACCATTTTAGCCAACGGGGACTTTCGCATTTTGTTTTATGTCGCCTAGAGGATACACCTGTCTGTGAAATATGTATACCAGAGGAGTCGTGGTCGAATATTGAACCTACATTTTATGCATTAAATTTATTACTTACTTGCAAGTTTACGATTCAATTTGATTAATAATAAAGGAAAGTACCAATGTACATACATAATTGTCTACCAAACGAAATTTTTGTTCTCTGTATAAATAATGCAGATAATAAATATTTACTCACCGTACGTAATAAGTGTAATATAACATAAAGTCATCTCTTTATACAGGTGACCTGGTACACTTCAGTGAAACTACACGAGTCGTTTGACATCACACCATGAATAAAACAGACAAGGTGAGAGATATTGTGTTTCTGTCTTACTAAAACTGTCATCTTATAATGTAAAGGTGTAATTAAATATTATTTTATGTGGCTCTCGATATACCTGCAAACAATTATCGAAAATGACTAAAGCATAACTTAACTGATATATAAACACGGCTAAACACTCACGTATATTCGTCCGGTGGCGGCACCGACTAGTTTTGAGCCCATCGGGGGCCCTTCACCAGGATGAGTGGTATTATTTCACGGACGCGGCCCGTCGATCACTGAGCGCCCAGTGTGTATGTGCCCAGTGTGTGTGTGTATAATGTCTCACGAAAGTTTGAATATTTTAAAGCATAACTATTTAGTTTTTGGCGTATTTTCTTTATGGAAGTAGAAATCATTGCGAGTTATTTATTCTATTTAAACTGGAGTCTGTCATTCTTTATTTATTTTAAACGAGATACAAGATATAACAATGTCATTTCATCTGAAGAAACAAGTACCTAAATCTCCGGTAGCCACGTTACAACGTTTTGCGCCGTAATCCAAACAATGGTCCTCATGCAAAATGCAAACGTTAACCCGTCCGACTCGAATTACCTACTCGAAGAACGGAACTGCGGTCTCTTCTAGTCACTAAGTAAACATTCTAACTTACGAATATATTTCCAACACTGTATTTGTTACATCATTATTACATTTACAAATCGGTTTTTCATATGGACATATAAAACATCTATCATCATTTTTTGTCTTTTGACAAAGCAGAAAATATATAATATTTAATTAAAAAATGTTCTTTGTTTAATTTTTATACGCTATAATTACTAATTATGTATCGTTAAACTTTTTAAATCTGTAGTAATACAGTTCTAAAAGATTAACGAATCTTAGTTCTAAAGCTCATGAATTTAGGTTAGTTTTTATACAAAATTAATTAGCTAAAAAATCTAGTACAACCGACCAGTTAATACTTAAAACTTTCTTTAAGGCCGTATTTTTTATACAAATTGTAGAAGCGGCAAGTGGCAACGACGCCGAAGGATTCTCTCGTTTAAATATTTACATTCCAACAATAAGAGAAAACAAGGCTACGCCGGTTTCTCGGCGCTGAGAAATGTGTACGTCTTAAGGTAATGAGGAGTGCCATGTTCTATTATACTTTTTGTTTGTTGAACAGAGAAATGTCAATATCGCGTGCCTTCATAGATTACCTTAGCCTGACATAATGAAGGGAAAAGAACAATAGACGTTGTATTCATTGACCCAGAGGCTTGGTTTAGTGACATCAGTGATGACATATTTTATATAAGACTTTTTAAACTTTCGTATCTTTCTCATCCTGCTGAAATACTCACAGTAGATTCGAAATATAATTTAGTAAGGAATAGATGTATATTTATATAAATATAACTTATAAATAGAGTGTTTCATCCAAGAACTTGAAGTCTATCGATCATTTTGTACTGTTAAATTACCCCAACCTGTGTTCCTGGAGGCCATTTATCTCTTTACTTTTGTGTTCCAGATTGTGTATCTAATTTTTAAATATCAACTGAGGATACCAATAATTTTTTAATGAAAATAACATTTAAGATAATAGTTCGTTTTGATTCTTTCACAAAATAAAAACAGGTTATAAAGTCTTAAGCTGTGCTTGTTATCTCGTTTCATATTTACCATTTTTACTTAGGTATCTACTACATATTTGTCGTATTAATCCAGAGTTAATTCGACGTATTTATGCATTTACGAAGGGACCCGACGTGTAAAGGGTCAACAAGAAGTGCTGCGGTATAAATTCTCGTCTAAGCTTCTTTGAAGGCGTCTCTACGTAACCTTGATAAATGTATACAATAGGCTTATTTTTTAACACAAAACATTTCAGTAAAAATTAAAACGAAACTTTATTGTTAACCTTAAATATTGTTATTTTTATTACACTTACGTTAAACTTCATGAAGATTGCAAGTAGCGTTTTGTTTGAAATTACTTATATAGACATTTTCTACTTTGTTTTCAGAAACAAGAACTGTTATTTATACAACAATAAAAACATAACAGTAATTTATATTACGGAGAAAACGGTTCATTAATTGATACTGTGGACAAACTTTTCAAATAAAAGGTCAGGGAATATTTGTTATGTTGGCAATGTGCCGAATAAAAACTCCTGTCACGTAGTTTCTCGTAGTAAGTAGTTACTGACTACGTTGCAACGTTAATGAGAAGGCTCGTTGACTCCCGACGTCT